TCATTGGTGCATGAATGTAGATTTGGGAGATCAACTTCTTTAATAGGAAAGGAACTAATAATATGTACTGATGATGTGTAGGGAATAAATTTTGCAGCCAGCCTCTAAGATGACTCAGTGTTCCCCACATTTTCGTTTTCATTCCTCTCCATCCTAAACTCTATCTTGGAAACAAAATCTGTAAGGGTTAGTTCAACATCCTTCTAAGCCTTCTGGGTTCTGGTTGGAGTATACCTATGGGGAACCCTGGAGTGAAGTTGTAGTGAGGTTGTTGTGTTCCTAAACAGCAGATCACAGATCCCCTCAAAGTGATCTCTGCTCTACCGCTACTCTCTCTCCCCATCCTGGTCCTTTTGAACCTAGGGGTGGTGATAGTTCCACTACTGCTGGACCTGGTTCCCTGTGTATCTTTTGTGGTTTCCTTACCCCCATTCACTACTTTGTAACTAGTCCCTTTAAAATAACGCTTTCAAAGTTAGTCTAAGTATGTCATGTTTCCTCTTGTAACCTCAACTAATACAGTAATTGATATCAGAAGAGGCTCTAGGAAGCAGATTCAGCGTTGGGTCTGGGATTTATTTGGTCATATATTTAGAGGTCCAGAGATACCCTTTGCTGGGAGAAATAACTCAGTTATCAATTACTCAAATTGTCATTGGTAGTGCTTGGGATAGAGGGCAAAGAGAGGGCAAGATGCTGGCTTTATGGAGTTTCAGGAAAGTCCCAACAAGAAAATTGCAGCACAAACCTCTAGGAATAAGGAGTAATGCCTTGACTCTGTGCTGATAATTATTTTCCATTTCAAAATTAGCTCCTGACTTGCTACTGGTAAAGAGTAAATGCTCAATCACAGATTATCAAATATTTATGTGATCCAAGCTGCCTATCATGAGCTGAGTGTTATCTGATTCAATGAACTATGAAATCGGGCTAGTTTTCTATCCTAATCTAGAAGTGTCATATTTGAAAGTGGGCCCTAGCAGATCCAGAAGCTTCCAGAAAGCTTCATAAGCATGCAACATCTACTCACATTGTACTTGCTCTTTCTGCTTCTACTTTAACTCACACCAGTGGCCTCCTGGGTAGTTCTCCAACAGCTAATGGAAGAAAAATCTCTGGCTTGATTTACAGGAAGATCTGCATCATAAATGTGTACCAACAGGAAATAGCCATTGTACTACAGCCTCATTCAGAGGTAGCCTGGTAGACAGTGTTGAAATAAAGTCCTCCCAGAACTTCAGGAAACACATATGTTTATTCATTTTGTTAGGGAAAAAGATAGTTTGAGGCATTGATCTACCTTGATTCATGGGCAATGGTAAAAACAAATTGGCCTCCCAATGGGAACTAGGAAGGAACAAAATTGGGAGATTGGTGACAAAAAGATCTTGGGGAAAGGAATGTGGTTGAATTTCTTAGAACAGGGACAGAGTAGGAAGATGTAACCAGAAATTGACAAGATGACCCATGTCGTGAAGGGAGTTAGCTTTTTCTTAGTCTCACTGGTGCTTGTTCAATGGTCCCCTGAATACCTTACCATGTGTCCCATAACTCCAAAGCAGCTGACTTGATAGAACAGAAGAATGGCCTTTTAAAGGCTCAATTACTATCACACCTGGAAGACAACATCTTGCAAAGTTCAGGTACGGTCCTGTAGGATGCAATCAATGTCTTAGACCATCAGCAGATATGCTTTTGTTTTTCCATAGCCAGGACACATGAGTCTGGAAATGAAGCAGTGGAGACTGGAGCAGCCTCTCTCACCATTTTGTCTCATAATCAACTGGGTATTGTTGTTTACTTTCCCTATGACCTTGGTTTTTGTTTTGGAGATCCCATTGCCAAGAGAAGAATCCTTGTATTAGGAAATATTGAAAGTTGAACTGCCCTCTGGCCACTGTGGGATTCCCTATGCTACTGAATTTATAGGCCCTGAAGGGGGTCAGTATAGCTGGGGTGATTATCCTGATTAACAGGGTATAATTGGGGGCGTGCATCGCAATTAAGACAAAGAGGACTTTGTTTAAAAATTAGGGAATGCATTAGCTTCATTTCTTAGTATTCTTAATAGTCCCGGTCAATGGAAAACTGTAGAAATCCCACAAAGACAAGACTAAACAAAGACCCAAATCCTACAGGAATGAATATTTGGGCACCATCTTCAGCCAAGGTGTTGGCAGTGGCAAACGGGAACATGGAATGGATGATGGAGGAGGGCATATGTGATTTCCACATTAGAATAGGTCAGGTGTGGTGATTCATGCCTGTAATCCCAGCACTTTGGGAGGCCAAGGTGGGTGGATCACTTGAGGTCAGGAGTTGGAGACCAGCCTGGGTGACATGGAGAAATGCCTTCTCTACTAAAAACTATAAAAAATTAGCTGGACAAGGTGGCATGTGCCTGTAATCCCAGCTACTCAGGAGGCCTGAGGCAGGAGGATCACTTGAACCTGGGAGGTGGAGGAGGTTGCAGTGAGTCAAGATAGCACCACTGCACTCCAGCCTGGCCAATGCAGTGAGACTATGTCTAAAAGAAAAAAAGAAAGAATAAATGGATGCCGAGGGGTGGACTGGGCTGGCTGTGTCATGTCTGCTCCCCTCCCTACTGGTCCACTCTCTGCATTTCACCAGCCTGCTCTTGGCTCCTGTGTGGTTTACATAAAACTATCTGGCTTCTCACTGGCTTAGGCCAATGGAGAGCCCAGCAAGGAGGGGGGAAGGAGAGTGGAGTAAGGATATTTATCCTCCTGATTTTCTGGCTATGAAGTCTCCTTGGGCCATCTGTGTCCTCAGATGAGTGATAAGTGCTCTTTTCCAGGTGACCTGTGCCACAGATACCCTCTCTTCCTGGGTTCTGGTAGCCCTCCCTTCCCTCCTCACTTTGTTAGGTGTGGTGACGGTTCAGCTCTGCATTCCTGCCCTCTCCTTGTAGTTTTACTACACTCTGCCTACATCTCTGTAATTACTTCCTTTTATAAATAAATCTTTCTCAACATATTCCCATTCGAGTGTGCCTTCTGATTCTTGTTGGGATCCTGACTGATCCCTCTATGTTCCAGGGACTTTAAAAGATGTTATCTAATTGGTTCTTCACCACAATCCTATTAGTGCCAGTCTTCTTGATTACCCTCTTAATGTATACCTGGCGTTGTCCTAGGTGTTTTACATGAATCAATTCAATTAGTCCTCACCATTGCCTTACTAAGACATCCTATTATTCCCATTTTACAGACGAGGGAACTGAAGCACAGAACATTTAACAGTATACTCAAAGTCATAAAGTTAGACATTAATCTCTGCCTTGTAGGGCTTCTCAAAGGGAGTACATACTATTTGCCTCATTTTTACAGTTGGGAAAACTAAGATTTAGAGAAGTAAAGGGACTTATCAAGATGTAGTCAGCCGGGTGGCTAGGGCTAACCCCAGGGTCTGTCTCCCTTCAAAGTGAATGCTCACCTCTAAGGTGCTCTGCTGCCTCCTGAATACTTTAGTTTCCGATGTCAATATAAGTATGAACTGATACGGAAGTGCAGGTCTTATGAAAATTTTCCTTTTGAAATTCAAAATTTATTTCTGGTCTTTATTTTAAATTTAATTCACTCTATTTTATTGAAGACAGAGTCTCAACTCACTGCAGACTCTACCTCCCAGGTTCAAGGGATCTTCCAACCTCAGCCTCCTGAGTATTGGCGACTACAGGCATGCACCACCATGCCTGGCTAATATTTAAAAAAAATTTTTTTGGGGGTAGAGTTGGGGTTCTGCCATGTTGCCCAGGCTGATCTCGAACTCCTGGGCTCAAGCGATCTGCCTGCCTCAGCATCCCAAGGTACTGGGATTAGAGGCGTGAGCCACCACCCTCGGCCTATTTATGGACTTTAAAAAGGAAAATCATCTCACAAATAAAGATGAAGCTTGACAATGAAAGTGTAGGCATAACCCAGACTTACTAGCTAGTTCTTTCTTCAAATATTGTTATCTTTAAACTTAATTCATATTAAGAGCCTACGTTTTATGGAATACTATGCAGCCATAAAAACAAATGAGTTCACGTCCTTTGCTGGGACATAGATGAAGCTGGAAGCCATCCTTCTCAGCAAACTAACAGAGGAACAGAAAACCAAACACCACATGTTCTCACTCATAAGTGGGAGTTGAACAATGAGAACACGTGGACACAGGGAGGGGAACATCACACACTGGGGCCTGTCAGGGGATTGGGGGAAAGGGAAGGGAGAGCATTAGGATGAATACCTAATGCACATGGGGCTTAAAGCCTAGATGGATGGGTTGATGAGTGCAGCAAACCACCATGGCACATGTATATCTATGTAGCAAACCTGCGCATTCTGCACATGTATCCCAGAACTTAAAGTTAAGAAAAAAAAATACCTAGATTCCTCCCCAGATAGTCTAATTTTATTGGTCTGAGGTATGCAGGGTATGACCTTAGCTCCAGAATATTTTTAAAGCTCCTCAGATAATTCTAACATGCAGCTAAGGTTTAGAACCATTTTTAAATTACAATAGATAAAAAAATAATAAATAAAATTCCACTGAAATGTTGATGGAATTAAAAAAAAAAAGCCTATAGGTTAATCAATTTAATTTAAAAAATTGACAGACCTAATTCAAAATCCCTGCTAACAGATTTCCCAGGGGAGCATTGCTTTTGAAATCCTATTCTCTTGTACATTTATTAGCCAACATTAGTCCTGACAAAGATAAAAGAGAATACACTGGTCATTTATCACTCACAGACTGAGGAAATGCAAAAACCAGACCAGAGGAGAAGAGCCTGAGAAGGGAAACCACACTGGCCAACGTGCCAGGAACTTATTTTTTGCTTTAGTGACAGTTACTTGTCTTCTACTAGTGAAGGAAGGCGTGATAGAGACTTTCATACGCTTTATAACAATTCATATCTCCCCCCTCTTAGAGACACCCTCAATATCACATACTCATGGCTTTCTAACAGCTAAGAATGATCTGCTTTTCAGATAACACCATCCAGTCGGTTTTCTGTTGCTGCTGTTGCTGTTCAGTGCAGAAGCGGTAAGTCTACTTCCGAGGGCAATTTTTTGAAAATTATTTAATTCAGTTTCTTTATTACCTGTGGAGTCACCATTTCTGTTTGCACCTGCTGTTCCCTCTACCTGGGAACCCTTCTCTCATTTTCTCCCTGTTGAATGCCTATTTGTTTAAAGGTCTAGGTCAAATGTCAGGTCATCTGGGATCCTTTCCTGATCCTTTAGGCTTAGTGGTTCATTCCATTGTGTTCCCACAGTGGGCGGCATGGTTCTCCACTTAATTTTTATTTCGTGTATGTTGTTTATAGGTCTGTGCTCCAATAGGTAATTTTTGCCCTTTAAGGGCAAGAATCCTCTCTTAGTTATCTGTCTCCCCAAAACTATCAGTGTATCTTATACTTTGATGGCAGTTAATAACTCTGTAAGAATTAAATCCAAGGCAGCATGTTAACAGAAAAAGCTAACATTTAACAGGAGTGTCCTGTATATCAGATACTATGCTAAAAGATTTATTTTTATTAACTCACGTAGTTCTCAAAACACCTACTTTTTTTTTTTTTACAATCCCCATTTTACAGATGAGGAAATTGAGGCTTAGAAAGGTTACATTGCTTACCCAAGGCCACTCTATGAAATGGTGGAGCTTGGATTCAAACTCATGTTCCTAATCACTATACCATGTCTATTTATAACAAAAAGACACCATCAAATGAGGTAATGCATATAAAAGGACAAGCACCAAGCCAGATACAGAGTAAGTTTTCATTACCATGATTATAATTTATGCCCCAAAGATGCACCAGACTCTACTGGGAATGTGACATGTTTTCGCAATTTTGTTTTATAACAACTTGACACTCTTAGCATCTCTAGTTCCTGCGTAAGAAAACTTAAGTTCCTAAAACTAGTAATTTGCTCAGGGAGATGGAATTAGGAAACCTTCTAAATGAAAAAGCAGTTGGAAAGAGACCTGGATTTTTCTACTCTTTCTGTGAAAATCTAGTGGATCTATAGATACCTTTTGTACAAATAATTATTTGTAACATGATTGCTTTTCAATGTCAGACAAGTGAGAACACACATAAGCTTGAGCACAGATGAGGAGCTTCCAGAAAAGTACACCCAGCGTCGCAGGCCGTGGCTCAGCCAACTGTCAAATGAGAAGCGAGTGAGTATCATTTTGGCAGGCAAGAGGGGAATGGAGAAGGTTGTCTTTTTAGAATCTTCATTCATGAGGTGCTGTTTGTTGCCCAGAATCTAGGATCAGGCTTGGCCCAAAATAAGTGCTCAATAATTTGTGAAGGAATGTTCTAGAAGAAAGTCAAAGGGAAAAAAAGACCAGTTAAAATTGGCTACCTATATTTAAAGACAGAACTTGCTAATGGGAAACGAGTAGGGGAAAAACATATTTTGGCTCCTGTCATTTTGAGGCTGAGATTAATTTTCCCTTCAGTGAAAACAGCATTCTTAGGAAGTATGGTAAATCCAAGCACAAGCTGCCACCACATGAAAAGAAAAAGGCCATTTTTCTTCTTCCAAGAGAGAAAAAATTCTTAAAACAAGGTGAGACTATTGAAGAAGAGTACATCATCTTTTGAGACTTTTGATATGAAAAAAATCCAGTAAAATGCTGGCAAGAGAACTTGTGATCTCAAAAATGTAAAAATGATGAGTGTGTTGCTGGAGCCAAAAGGAGCTTTATAGTTAGTCCTTTCCTACATTTATCCCATCCTGGCTTCTGCCTTGGGATAGCTGGATAAGAAAAGTGAGGCAGAAGGCAAGATACTTTATCCCTATTTTTTTTAGTACAGATTATTAAAATGATAGTAAAACAACTCACTTCTTGGTTTTCACAGTCCAACAGGGGCCGTGTGCAACCGTTGAAACGAAAGCCACTGCCTCCTCTGCCACCCTCTGAGGTTGCTGAAGAGAAGATCCAAGTCAAGGCACTTTATGATTTTCTGCCCAGAGAACCTTGTAATTTAGCCTTAAGGAGATCAGAAGAATACCTGATATTGGAGAAATATAATCCTCACTGGTGGAAGGCAAGAGACCGTTTGGGGTAAGACACTTATATGACTTAGTCAGTATCCAGTTCCTCCAACACCAAGGAGACTATTTAGTGACTCAGGCTTGTAACTCTTCCCTCTGCATGAAATGGAACCAGTCCCCTCTCCTGCAAGGTATGTGAGAGAATGAGAGAACAGTGATTTCAGGCACAGCCTCAGAACCAGATACACCTGGCTTCACATCCTGATACTGTCACTTACTATTGTGTGTCCCTGGGCAAGTCACTTACCCTCTCTGAGTTTTTGTTTTTTTATTTGTACGATGAAAATAATAATTCTGACAATGTAGTTTCTTATTCTGATTTGTACTTTTATTTGGAAATTTGTTGGTTTTTTTTTTTTTTTTTTTTTTTTCTAAGGTAAGAACAGAAATAGTATCTTATTCACTTTTATGTTTTTACAATAACTAGTTTTGGAAGCAAACATTGCAGTCGCTGCTGAATGAGATTAGAAAGAAAAAAGACCCTGGGATGCAGATAGGATTCATTGTGTCAGTTGCAACAGATGGTTAACGCCTGACTAGAGTCCTGAGTTGAGAGGAATTCCAAGGAATATCTGGACTTCCTGAGAGAGAAGGCTGGCATTGATTTCTGATATTTGCCAAGATTTAGAGATTATAAGTATCCAAGTATTACAAGCATGTAAATTACATACCTCTTTCTTCAACTACATTTTCTCAATGATGTGGCCCTCTTTAACAGTTCTCAACATGTGATGGAGACTTTTCAATGGCAAAAGAGGCATTAGTAGGTTCAGGACTGTGTAATTAGCCACACCTGCAGGTGGGTATTGGCATGCCTCAGACTTAAAAGTTGAATTTTTGAATTCACGGTTAGTAAGTGAATAGAGTCTTTAAAAAAATATAATATGCAAACATTAATGTCAAAAATTTGCTTTGCCACTACCTTCAAACCCAAGTGTTTCCCCAAAAGTAAATATTATTATGCATTTAGTATATTTTCAGATTATTTTCAGTGTGCTTACATTCACATATCAAAATATATGGTATTGTTTGTAGAATTAATTTACCTAAATCTTATCATACTTTATGCATGATTCTGCAACTTACTTTTATTTCTTAATAATATGTCTTGGAGATCTTTTTGTAATTTCAAATGTTGGTTAAGGTATAGGGAATTGAAACCTCTACCATGCTGATAGGTGTGTAAGTTGGTGTATCCTACTTTGATGGAAATTTACTGCATATCCTGAAAGATGCACATATCCTGTGACTTAGCAATTCCCCTCCTTGCTATCTATCTTTGAGAAATATTCTTACTTTTGTACAAGAAGGCAGTTCAAGGATTTCTTTATGGCATTGATCCTACTAGGGAAGTGGCTAAACTAGAATACCTATACTACGGAATACTTTTCAGCAATTGAAAAGAATGAAGGCAGTATCTTTGTAATTGCTGTGTTTTTAACATAGTCACTATGACATCAGATGACCGTTTAAGTGCATGCCCTCTTTTCTCTCTAAAAAGATTGTGGGATCATAAAAACTCTTAAAGTATTCACACTGCAAGTCGGGCTCTTAATACATTTCTTGTACAGAGATTTTTGTTGAGTTAGAAATGAAAAAAACTTTTTTCTCTTTTTAGCAATTTAATCAGTAAAATGAATTTGATTCTCCTGAGATCCTTACAATTTTAAAAGGCTGTGATAATGCCACAAACATGCCAAGCATTTTGATTTTTGCTTTTTCTTTTGTTACAGGAATGAAGGCTTAATCCCAAGCAACTATGTGACTGAAAACAAAATAACTAATTTACAAATATATGAGTAAGTCTTCCCCAAAATATGGCCCATGGTTAACCTATGAATATCAGGGACATTTTGGCAGCTTGTAAGTATAGATACTGTTTTTGGTCTGTAAAAGGAAAAGAAAGTAACACATTTGACAGCATTAATAATAAAGAGATCTTTGATCCTTATCATGGTTGATTCAGAAACTTCTTTTTCTTAAACTTATTTCTGTTCTGTTTTGTATAGCCACTTTTTCTGTTTTAGCAGTGACAGACTGAAACCAAACACTCATCTGGCACTTGTTTTACTGTATATTCTACTATATAGTTTAGTTTAAAAAACGACATTAAATTTGCAGTGAGTGGTAAATTGGACTTAACTGTATAGATGAATTACATTTTGGCTCATGTTTTCATATGTTTTAGAAATAGCTGAAGATATGAACTAGGCTAAATGCTGTAGTTTGGAAGAACCCTTTGGCATATTCACTAGAGTTCTGCTTGAAATCTATTTTTGTTACAGTTATAGATTTGGAAGATGGAGGAAATCCTAGCAATCACTTTTTTAGCCCCTCATTTTGCAGATAAGAAGATTGACAGAAGACTTTACAGGTAGAGAGCAGCAGAAATGAGACTAGTCATATTTTTAAATAAATTTAGATTTTTAGTTTGAGGATCTCCCCCCACCTCCATCCCGCTTGGGCACTTATCTTGCAATTAGCATATGCTTCCACCAGGTGGCAGTAGGTAATATGCATTGAGAATTAAGACAAGTGCTTTTCTGAGAACCAGGCAGTAAATACAGTTGAATGAGAGAAACTCCTTGGTTGGTCTTGCTACTAATAGAGCCCACCTGGAGATCTAACTGAGTACATCTCTCCTAAAACAAATTCAATTTCAAAAGCTTAGGTGAATAATGTAGACTTTATTGGAGGAGAGAAGGAGATGACTTCAGGACACATGACACATCTACATCACTCTATAGATTTCTCCTTTAGCTATTTCTGGTCTCTCTCCAGTCACTCACCTCATCTCCATCATAGGACCTCTTCTCTCTTTTCCCACCTTCACTCAGCCTCATGTCTCTATTGGAGCCATTTAGCTCTTCCCAAGATTCTAATCTCCAGTAAAACAAAGTCCTCAGGTGACTGAACCCACCTTCCTTATAAAACAGTTCCAAAGTGCTCACTGTGGTGGAACATATACTAAAATTGGAATGATACAGAGAAGATCAGCATGGCAATTTTTTAATTTTAATTTTTATTGTTTTTATTTATTTTTGAAATTTTAAAAATATTTTAAGTTCTGGGGCACATAGGCAGAAGTGCAGGTTTGTTACATAGGTATACAAGTACCATGGTGGTTTCCTGCATCCACCAACCCATCATCTACATTAGGTATTTCTCCTGATGCTATCCTTCCCGTAGTCCCCAACCCCCAACAGGCCGTGGTATGTGATGTTCCCCTCCCTGTGTCCATGTGTTCTCATTATTCAACTCCCACTTATGAGTGAGAATATGCAGTGTTTGGTTTTCTGTTCTTGTGTTAGTTGGCTGAGAATGATGGTTTCCAGCTTCATCCATGTCCCTGCAAAGGACATGAACGCATTCTTTTTTTATGTTTGCATAGTATTCCATAGTGTATATGTGCCACATTTTCTTTATCCTGTCTATCATTGATGGGCATTTGGGTTGATTCCAAGTCTTTGCTATTGTGAACAGTGCCATAATAAACATTCATGTGCATGTATCTTTAGAGTAGAATGATTTATAATCCTTTGGGTATATACCCAGTAATGGCATTGATGACTCAAATGGTATTTCTAGTTCTAGATCCTTGAGGAATCTCCACACTGTCTTCCACAATAATTGAACTAATTTACACTCCCACCAACAGTGTAAAAGCGTTCCTATTTCTCCACATCCTCTTCAGCATCTGTTGTTTCCTGACTTTTTAATGATTGCCATTCTAACTTGCATGAGATGGTATCTCATTGTGGTTTTGATTTGAATTTCTCTAGTGACCAGTGATGATGAGCACCTTTTCATGTTTGTTGGCTGCATAAATGTCTTCTTTTGAGAAGTGTCTGTTGATATCCTTTGCCCACTTTTTGGTGGGGTTGTCTTTTTTTTGTAGATTTGTTTAAGTTCTTTGTCCATTCTGGATATTAGACCTTTGTCAGATAGATTGCAAAAATTTTCTCCCATTCTGTACGTTGCTTCTTCACTCTGATGATAGTTTATTTTGCTGTGCAGAAGCTCTTTAGTTTAATTAGATCCCATTTGTCTATTTTGGCTTTTGTTGCCATTGCTTTTGGCGTTTTAGTCATGAAGCCTTTGCCCATGCCTATGTCCTAAATGGTTTTGTAGCATGAAAATTTTAAAAAATTAAAAAAGAAAGAGGCCAGGCATGGTGGCTTACACCTGTAATCCTAGCACTTTGGGAGGCTGAGGTGGGAGAATTGCATGAGCTCAGGAGTTCAAGGCCATCCTGGGCAACACAGTGAGACCCTATCTCTATTTAAAAAAAAGAAAAAAAAAAACAATGGTTCTGCAGCTATCTACTCAAGAACATGTCCACTTGGGGTCTCACCACTACCCCGAGCTGAAGCTGACCAACAAAAACAGGCCTCTTGCAAGGCCAGGTCAGAGGAGATTTTGTATGTATTTACAAATATTATATGAAGATCTCTTGCTTAGAAAAATAAAACTTTTTTTCATATCATTTGAATTTTCCAGGCAATTAAAGGAGACATTTGTGAAGGTAGCTAACACAGTGCTGGGTGGTTAGCGAATGGACACTCACTCCTGAATGCCCAGGAATGTTACTTTCTACCCTTTTATTCTTCATTTACTCATTGATTCCCCTGTCTAGACAAGGCCTAGACTCTGGCCATAACAACTTGTTTATACTGTGGATGTTGGATCATCTCAATTAAACTACTCTGGGGTTACAACTGCTACCTCATTTTCTTGGGCCTTGATTTACCTATGTTTTTTTTAAAAATCATCCTTTTTTAAATGACTTTAATTATGAGAAAACTCATTTTTCATTTTATTGCTGTTTCTAAAAACAGGTTTATCAAAATGTAGATAAAATAGTTATTATTATTGATCACTGAAATTTATTGACCACTTACTATGTACCAAGCACTGTTCTAATGATTGTACAAAAGTTACTGCCCTAGGTTGAAGTATTAGAGCATGAGTACAGAAATGGGAGCAACCTGGGTCCAAATCCTGGCATCAGGACTGAATAGTGCTTTGGTTCTGGGTGGAGTTACCTAATGTCTCTAAACCTTTGACTGATCTGAAAAGCAGAGACAATAATACCTATAGTATCTATTAATAATAAACCATTAATACATTCTAGTGATTATTATTATTTCATAAACCATAAAACTACCTGGAAAAACATTTACAGTTTAATTCGCCCTGCCTAGTATGACAGGTGTTCAACATTCCTTTGTTACTTCAGTCCTCAAATCACCTTATTTGTTCCATCTGTATTTATTGTACACTTCTGATGTTCCAGATATTACAACATGAAATATGCAGATGGAACTTATAGTTTCTTGGGGGAAAACTGACATTAAACAACTCTAAGTCCACAAATAAATGTACAATTTTAAATTGTAGTGTTATGATACACTGGAGCCTGGGGCGGGGGGTGAGGCGGGGATGGCAAGGGGAGGGAGAGCATCAGTAAGAATAGCTAATGGGCGCTGGGCTTAATACCTAGGCAATGGGACGGTCTGTGCAGGAAACCACTATGGCACACATCTACCTACATAACAAACCTGCACATCCTGCACACGTACCCTGGAACTTAAAATAAAAGTTGAGAAAAAAAATTAAAAATTGTAGTATTTTGAAGGAACAGTATTGGACACTGTGGGAAAAAACAGGGCAGGGGATATAGTTTAGATGAGGGATGTTGGGGAAGAGCTTTCTGAGGAAGTGACTTGAGGTCTAAAGGTGGTAGAGGGAGTGTGTGTTGGGAGGAGGGTGGGGTATAGTGGAAGGAATGCTGTGTCAATGTGGAGTTCTGATATTTCAGGGGAATCTTTAGGCATAGACAGATTTATGGCTACTTTGGCTTTAAATGAATACCCAAATGATCAACGTTACAATGTAGAAACCTAGTTTTCAGAAAGTCCTCAAATTCAACTTATAAAATTTGATATACTATACATAAATCTAAAGAAATAAGAACAATCACCTTAATTCAAACTCAAGATACTAAATATCATTGAACAATCAGTCCTATTTATGAGCTCAGTTAATTAAATTTTTGAAAACTTAATTTGCATTAATAACTGAATAAATTCAGTTTTCTTTCAACGCATGCCTGACAGGGCAAATTTGCAATTATAATAAGCCCTATATAAGTCTTTAAATGATCCTGGAAATCTAATAAGCTAACCTTATAAATGTGGAAATCAAGTTCTTGTAACCATACAAATACCATTTTAAAAACAAGTCAAATTCTCTGCAACTTCAAATAACAAGTTTAAAATTAATTATGCCCTTTAAAAACAGAGACAAAAATCTAATATGCCAGATTATCTTAAAATAATAGATATTTTAAATACCAAACATATTGATCGTTCCTGAACTGTACAGAAGTATGAGTTTCATTTATCTCAGTATCTCTACATAGAATCGTTAATCCGCTCACAATTAGAAAGTCACTTACTAAGGGAAGAAGATTAACCTTCTCAGATCTAATGGGGTTTCTAGATCAAAAATTCAGGAACACAATATTGTTTACTTATTGATCAGAAACCTGAGATTGGGACATGGGACTGGAGGTGTTCATACAACATACAGGATGTTTCTACTCACCCATCGCTGGACGTGCTGGATTTAGAAAAAAAATGTCAATAGGATACCTGTCCCTAACTCCTTCATGCACATCATTTGGTCTTAGTTATAATTAGTGTTGTCTAGGTGTAAGAATTACAGTTTTACTCATACATATATTTTTAAAAAGCCTTCTAACTTTTATCCTCTGATTTAAATAAATGAAATTCTGAAATACTGTGCTCTTGCCTCCTCTAAGTTCTATTTGTTCAGTCTCTTTCCGGCCTGATAGAATTCTGAATTATTTTAAAGGATCTTGAGTTTGTCACATACATCTATCTGAAAATATTAGATTAAATTTAGCATCTTTTTAAAAATCTTGTTTTGAGTGCTTGCTTTAGCAGCACATATACTAAAAATTAGAACAATACAGAGAAGATTAGCATGTTCCCTGCTCAAGGATGATATGCAAATTCGTGAAGTGTTAAATTTTTTTTTAAGTCTTGTTTTGAAAGGAAAACCTTTTAGGGTTCCTTTCTCTCTCTTTTGTTCTACCATTATTCTTTCTCCTTCCTGTACAACACTTGCTTACCGACTAGGTATTATCATATCAAACTGTATGTTTAGCTTATTAGTTAATATTGGTTAACTATGTTTACTACATGTGCTTCGGATATTCTAAAGTCATTTAATGATATGTTTCATGCAGAGAAAACAGCATGATTGGGGGCAGAAAGGGGGTTGGTGAATCAGAGGAAGAAAAGAATTCCAATGAGACAAGCTTAGTGAGTGAGGGGAGACTCAGGAGAGAGATGGGGCAGGAGAGAGTGTTAGAGCAAGTTTGTGTATTGCTTGTTCCATGTATCCTATTTTTTGATTTTTAAAAAATTTTATTTTAGATCCAGGGGGTACATGTTCATGTTTTTTTACAACAGTATATTTTGTAATGGTGGATATTGGGTTTCTAGTGTACCCATCACCTAAATAGTGAACATTTTATTGTATAAGTCATTTTTCAACTCTCACCCCTGTTCCATCCTCCCTGCTTTGGGAGCCCCCAGTGTCCATTCTTTCCATCTCTGTGGCTATGTGTTCCCCCTGTTTAGTTCCCACTTACAGGTGAGAACATCTGCTAACCACTGACTATACTATGACCTCATGTACTTAGGAGTGTCAGAAAAGTAAGAATGGGCTTTAATTTTTGGAAAGGATAACAAATCACCTATAAAAACATGTAAATAGGAAGTTTCTGAGAGGAAAGACAGAAATAAGTATTGTTTTCGTTTGTCTGCCAAAGCTCAAACGTGTTTGTTCAAGATGATGAGGTCTTTACTACATACCTTTCATGGAAATTTATAAGAAGTTAAATCATTCATAAGGATATACTAAGTGTATGTCAGGAAGTTGAATTGAGATATGATAGAATGAACTAGATATTGGCTTGAAAATAAAATTATATTAAACTTAACTCATAATAGTATATTATTGTTTATCTGAATTTTTTTTGAAATAAATCAACTTTCTAAGATCAGTTCTGAAGTTCTTAAAAATGAAGAAAATGAAGCATTTTTTCTAAAAAATTGAATATAAAATTTAAATATCATTTTTATTGCTTTTACAGGTGGTACCATAGAAACATTACCAGAAATCAGGCAGAACATCTGCTGAGACAAGAGGTAATTCAATGTATTTGTGGACATTTTCAAAATTTCTGAGAAGTACTTATAAAGACTTTAACCAGCTAAAAAACTATATTAGTTCTAAAATATTATTACATCCCAACTATATATTTTATGTGAAGTTGTAAATCAGATATATTTGTATCAGATCATTTCCATCAACTTTCATTATAATTTCAGAAATATGTTTCTCCTGAAAGGATTTCAACTCCAATATAGGGAGACTCCAAGGTACATTCTGCCAATGGAGTCTCTCTTTCTAGTGTGTGTGTGTATATATATATAATCTCTCTCTCTCTCTCTCTACATGTACGTGTGTGTGTGTGTGTGTGTGTGTGTATGTGTGTGTATTACTATTATTATTTTTTTGAGACGGAGTTTCACTCTTGCTACCCAGGCTAGAGTGCAATGGCACGATCTCGGCTCACCGCAACCCCCACCTCCTGGGTTCAAGCAATTTTCCTGTCTCAGCCTACCAGGTAGCTGGGTCTACAGGCATGCACCACCACGTCCAGCTAATTTTTGTATTTTCAGTAGAGACGGGATTTCACCATGTTGACCAGGATGGCCTCAATCTCTTGACCTCATGATCCACCCACCTCAGCCTCCCAAAGTGCTGGGATTGTAGGCGTGAGCCACCGCGCCCAGCCTATAATTTTTTTTTGAGACATGGAATCGCTCTGTCACCCAGGCTGGAGTGCAGTGGCTCGATCACAGCTGACTGAAATCTTGACCTCCTGGGCTCAAAGCTATCTTCCCACCTCAGCCTCCTGAGTAGCTGGGACTACAGGCATGCCACCATGCCTGGGTAGTTTCTTTGTATTTTTAATAGAGATGGGGTTTTACCTTGTTGCCCAGCTGGTCTTGAACTGCTGAGCTTAAGTGATCAGGCTGGCTCTGCCTCCCAAAGTGCTGAGATTACAGGTGTGAGCCACCATTCCTAGCCTGGAGTCTGTATTTGTGTTGCTCATTATAACCTTTGCACCAAGTATAAACTCGATCCTCAGGAACTTAGGTTATACTCATTAAAAACACAAAGAAAAACACATGCTGCCCCACTTTCTTTGTTCTTTGGAAGCAGAAGAAAGAGTTGAATAGCCAAAATACCAAACTCAGATCAGAACTGCTCATAGTTTAAATTTCCAGCTGTAGATAAACATTAACTGTGGGTAAACGTAGAGTCAGAACTAGAAACTAGGTAAGAGGTATTTGTGTCATTATGCTCTGCTGTGGGATGTTGAGGAAATCTAGAAATACGAATGAGAAAGGATCAGTTCTGTAACTCAAAACTCAATGCCAGTAATGGCACAGGACGCAATGAAGACCCACTTCACAGCAGAGGCTAGGCAGAGAATGAGGGACACAGGCCCATCCTCAGGTGACCGCGCGGATGGAAACTGGACAGGCCTCACTTGCTTGGAGGAAATTGAGTGGGGCAGCAAATATTCTATCTTCCTGGTATGGTCATGGCAAATGGCCTTTTGTGAGGTGATACTAATATGTCCAACATGGAGAAATAAAATGTTATGACAGGTGGACAGAACCAGAGAAGGAAGGTCCCAGAGGAGGTCCACAGTCAGCACACTGGGCACAGGTAATATGGCCGAAATCACTGGGCTGTGCAGATTCAGGATAAGAGCTTCTGCATCTGAAAAGAAGCCAGACAAGGTCAGATCTCTACAGAGACTTGAAGAGTGAATTATACGCACAGGCCCACAATCCAGATATGTGAAATATTAAAATTTGGCCATGACATTAAAAAAACCAATTACAGCTACAGGAAGCCCACCGCTTCATCTTTTTGGTCCTCTGTCATTCCCCAGACTCAGTCACAACAGCAAGGTATGTTCCCGTTTTGTCCATGTGTTTATATTTTGATCATTATGCATGCACATAAACAACCTATAACATTATTTTATGTATTTTACCATTTGACAGAAGGAGATCATATGTATGTTGATTTTTTAGTTAAACATGTTTTCAAAGTTTATTGATATGGGTACATATACTGTAGATCAAACACATTCCTTTAACTGTATATTAGTGTATTTCATGATATGACTATATAAAATTGTATTCAGTATGGATAAACATTCAAAATGTTCCTAATTTGTTACTGTTACAAACAGTTCTGCAATGAATTTTCTTATAAATGTCAAGTTGTACACAAGGGTGAAATGGAATTATGTGGTCACAGGGTATGTGCAGATTTAACATTATTAGATATTTTCAAAACATGATTCAAAATGGTTACACTAATTTAGGCTCTTGTGGTGAATGAGATAAACTGGTTCCCAACATTCTTGCCAGCAGGTGGCAAGTAGTTTCACACTTTTTTTTTCAATTCGTTGGGTGAGAAATTTTATACTTTTTCAAACATTTTCTTGATTACCAGTGTAGTTGAGTTACTTTTGAAGTGTCTGTAGGCTGATTGAGCTTACTCTTCTGTGACATGCCTGTTAATATTTTTTGTTCATTTCTCCTGTAGTGCTTGCCTTTTTAACCTATAAGTCTATATTTAAAAAATATAGCTGGGTGTGGTGGCTTAAGCCTATAATCCCAGCACTTCGGGAGGCCGAAGCAGGTGGATCATTTGAGATCAGGAGGTTGAGACCAACCTGGCTAACATGGTGAAACCCCATCTCTACTGAAAATATAAAAATTAGCCGGGTGTGGTGGTGCGTGCCTGTAATCCCAGCTACCCAGGAGGTTGAGGCTGGAGAATCGCTTGAACCTGGGAGGTGGAGATCGCAGTGAGCTGAGATCATGCCACTGCATTCCAGCCTGGGTGACAGAATGAGACTCTGTCTCAAAAAAATCAATTAAAAAGAATGATAAAAAGTATATCCAGCATACCAATCCTTTTTGTCAGTTATGTATTAAAAATATACTCTTCTGGCTTCTGGCTTTTAAGAAAACTTTACATGTTTTCCTTTCTTGCATAGAATTTAAAAAGGTTTATGTGGTCACATTTCTCAAATTTTCCTTTATTATCTGTGCTTTTTTTTTTTTACCTTAGTGTAAGAAGTTTTTCTTCCAATTGAAGTCATAAATGGATTCTCTATTTTCTTTTAAATGTATTAAGGATTTGCTTTTCACATCTGGGTCTTTATCAGAAATGTGTGTGTATGTGTGTATAATGCATGGGATATTTAAAATATACTTATTTTTCCTATGTATCTTAAAAATGTTTTTGTAATTTATATATTTTCTAATTTTTATTTTAAAAATACACCTGGATTAAACCATATTTGTCATGAAGCATTTAAAATACATATTCTGGTTTGGGTTTCCTGATATTTTATTCAGCATATTATGTTCAAAGCATGTTATGTTCAAAAGGAAGCCTGGCTTATAATTTTCTGTTCTCTTTGTTTTAGTATAAAGGTTACCTTAACATCATAAAATGAGTTAAGGGATAGGGCTTTGTCTTTCTTTCCAATCTGTGGAATAGTTATTGTCTGGTTAGGAACCATAACTGTCTTGTAAGAGAGTCCAGATATGCTGCTTTTACAAAAAGGTAGATATGTGACTACTGATTGAATTTCCTTTTCTTTTTGGAATGTTTGATAATTTATATTTACCTAGAGAATTGCCTATTTTAAATTTATTTTCAAATTTGTTCCATTAACAATTCATAGCAATATCCTATAATTTGTATTTATTTTATATTTCAATATGAAATATAAAATATTATATTTTTGGACCACAGTATGTTCATGTGGTCCAAAATCAAAAGATTTTGGAAAGTTTTCTTCCATCTTGTCTTGAAGCCACCAATTTCCCTCCCCACAGAAAAACTACTATTAGTTTATTTTGTGTCCTTTCCAAGATATTTAATACATACACAAGTAAGTACAAATATATTTTCTTGTTTTATTACTTTTACACAAATGATAGCATGCTATGTATACTTTTATATATATTATTTTTTCACATAAGTATATATATTTAGAATCTTTCCACATCAGTACACAAAATGTGTCCTCCTTCACTTTATACCTGCATGGTATTCCTTAGTTTGGTTGTATCACAATTTTTAAAAACAATTCTTCATTATGGAAATTAAATGGTAGATATTCTTTCGCTGTTGAAACAGTGCTGCCATCCATAATCTGTACATATATCTTTTCCCATTTATGTGTGTTTGTAGGATAAATCCTCAAAGGTACAAACTCTGGGTCAAATGAAATATACATTTCTAATTTTAATAAATACTGAAATGTCCTCAGTAGTTGTATCAATGTATATGCCTACCAGAAATGTAAGCGAGTCTGTTTTCCCATAACCTTTCACCCAGCCCGTTATAAAAAACATCTGGATCTTTGCTCTCTGACACCTCATCTCAGTGTGGATGTCATTTGCATTTCTCTTATTCTGGGAATGCTAAGCATTTTTTATATGATAAATTTTACATGTCTGTATTTCCTTTTCTGTGAACTCTTTGTTCATATCCTTTGCATAGTATTCTATTGGGTTTTTGATGTTTTTCTCAGAATTTGTAGGACCTATGTAGCCATATTGAGGAAATTAGCCCTTCGTGACATGTGGTGTTATTTCCTGCAGTTTTTCTATTGTCTTGCGGTATTTTGGCCTGAAGGGTATTTGAATTTTATATGTATTGCCTTCCCCCTCCCAGGTCATTACAAATATTCTCATGTTTCTTGATCACTTTAGTGGTTTTATTTTGTGCATTTTTATCTTTGATCCATTTGTAATTTTTCCTGATGTTAGGAGTGAGATATGGATCCAACTTTATTTTTTTCTAAATGGTTACCAAACATCCCCCTTTCTGTGCTGACTTGAGATGCCATTTTCATCATAAACAAAATGCCTAATTTGGACTATATCTGGGCTTTCTACTTGGTTTTATTGATCAGCTTGTCTATTCATAGAGGACAATTACACTTTTAAGTACAGAGGCTGTCTCTAGTGTGGCTAGCCTCTCTCATTATTCTTTTTCAGAAATATTCTGGATGTATTAATATATATTTTTTGTCCATATAAGCTTGAGAATCTCCTTGTCTCATTTAAAAAAAAATCTTCCTATTGGTTTGTTGCATTAAATGTACAGATTAATTTGGGAAAAAATTTTCTGGCATTACAAATCAGTGAGGTTTGGAGACCCATTTGTTCCAGAACCCATATATTAATATTAATATGGAAAAAAATTAGATTCATATATCTAGGAAAAATAACCATAGGTATATTAAACACCTGATGAGAAAAGCAAACATTTTTGTATTCTTCAGGAGCATTTTAGAGTTTTCTTCATACAACTTTTGCACATTTATTTTTGTTTATCTTAAAATATTTCATCTTTTGTGTTGCTGTTGTAAATGAGTATATCTTATTTTTACTTATAAAGCTTTTTATTTCTGTGAATTAATTTTGTAACTGATAATTTGGGTGAATTCTCATGTTTCATGTAGTAGTTTTTCAGTTGATTCTCTTGGGTTTCCAGTATGCAATCAGCAGCCAACAGCGATGAGTTCAACTCCTCTTTTATAATTTTAACATAGCACTTTTAATTTTTGCCTTTTATTTAGTTGAATTGGCTAGTGTCTCCGGAACAGTATGAATTGCCAGTGATGATAGTAGTGGGGATTATTTCCTTTTTCAGGTTTTTTTTTTTTTTTTTTTTTTTGACAATTTTTCTTTTTTGCCCAAACTGAATGCAGTGGTGCAATCTCAGCTCACTGCAGCCATTGCCTCCCAGGTTCAAGCAATTCTCATGCCTCAGTCACCCCAGAAGCTGGGATTACAGGCACGTGGCACCACTTTGTATTTTCAGTAGAGGTGGGGTTTTGCTATGTTGGCCAGGTTGGTCTCAAACTCCTAGCCTTAAGTGATCTGCCTGCCTCAGTCTCCCAAAGTGCTGGGATTACAGGCATGAGCTACTGTGTCCGGCCCTTTTTCAGATTTTATTTGGAATGATTTTCACATATAGCATGATGCTGGATCTGAGACTAAAGTAAATAAGTGCTACTGTGTTAACGAAGTACACAAACATTCCTATTTTATTGAGAATTACAAAAAATTGATACTAGAAGTTGAAATTTGTCGAATGGCTTTTCAACATCTCTGGGGATGTTCATGTGGTTTTTCTTCTTCGATCTGCTATATAGGTTGGTGTAGAAGTCACTGTGGTTTTTGCCATTACTTTTAGTTACTCTTAATGGAAAAAAAAACACAATTACTTTTACACCAACCTAATAGTTTGATAAATTATATTAATAAAATCCCAAATATTGAATTATTCTTACACTCCTGCATGTGATTCTTCTTGGTCATGGTATATCATTCTTTTGTGCTACTGTATTTGTTTGTTAATATTTTATTTAGAATTTTTACATTGATACAGGTAAGACTGGTCAGCAGTTTTTTTGTGCACAGTTTTGGCTGTGCCGTTGGTTATTGATACTAAACTCATTTTACACATACAAACTGAAAAGTTTTTCTTCTTTTCATATCATGTGCTCTGGCATAGTTTCATCTCTGTACCATTTTTTCTTTTTTGAGACGGAGTCTCACTGTGTTGCCCAAGCTGGAGTGCAGTGACACAATCTCAGCTCACTGCAACCTCTGCCTCCCGGGTTCAAGCGATTCTCCTGTCTCAGCTTCTGGAGTAGCTGGGATTACAGGTGCCCTCCACCACATATGGCTAATTTTTGTATTTTTAGTAGAGACACGGTTTCACCATATTGGTCAGGCTGATCTTGAACTCCTGACCTCAGGTGATCCACCTGCCTTGACCTCCCAAAGTGTTGAAATTACAGGTGTGAGCCACCATGCCTGGCCTCTATACCATTTTTTTTTCTTTAAGGTTAAGTACATTATAATGTGTGACTATAGTACTATTTAACGTGGTACCTTTTAAAAAACCCAATACATTTTTCTACTCAACAGATCCATTAAGATTTCTACCTCTTCTGGATTCAATTTTGATAAATTTTATGTCTTACTATTTATTATCCATTTCATTCATGTTTCCAAATTTGTTGTATAGAATCAAGTAAATTTCTTAATTTTTACTGGATCATTGATAATTTTCTCCTTGTGATTTATTTTTCATTGATTTTCACCATTATTTAATGATTACGTTAATTAGCAGTTTATTAATTTTCCCTAAGCAACCAGATTTTAAACTTACTAGTCATATTATATTCTTACTTTAATAATTTATTTTATATTTTGTCTTTATCAATTTATTTCTTTTACTTGACTTGGGTTTATTTTATGTTTTTTTTTTAATTTTATGTTTTTAATCCTAACTTCTTGAGTTGAATATGCTTATTTGTATTGCTTTTGTTTATTTTTATAAGTAATAAGACTATGAATTTATTTCTGAGTACTGCTTGAACTGCATAGCAGAGTTGCTAATGTGTTGTGTTTCATTATTACTTTCTAGATATTTTTTACTTTTATTTAAATTTTTTTGAGCTATATGAAAGACAATTTAAAAGGCCGGCTGTGGTGGCTTACACCTGTAATCCCAGTACTTTGGGAGGCCAAGGTGGGCGGATTACTTGAGATCAGGATTTCAAGACCAGCCTGGCCAACGTGGTGAAACCTTGTCTCTACTAAAAATACAAAAATAAACTGGGCATGGTGGTATGTGCCTGTAATCCCAGCTACTGGGGAGGCTGAGGCAGGAGAATTGCTTGAACCTGGGAGGTAGAGGTTGCAGTGAGCCAACATCATGCCATTGCACTGTAGCCTGGATGACGAAGTGGGACTCCATTTCAAAAAAAAGAAAAAAGGAAAGAAGGAAGAAAGGAAGGAAGGAAGGAAGACAGAAAGAAAGAAAGAAAGAAAAAGAAAATGTAAAACTCTATAGATGATAGGAGATTTTTACTTTTGGGTTAGTTATTAATTTCCGGTTTTATTGCTTTGTAGTCAGAAAATCTTGCTTGTACTCTTTCGACTTTGCTTCTTTGAAGAGATCACCACATATGCAACTTTTATTTGTATGCACATTATATATGCTTGTTTGTGTATATTATATACATATACACAATACATTCAACTTTATTTTTTCGTCTCTGTCTTTTGCATCTTGTGTCCCCTGTGGTATGTAACAGAAAACTTGTATATCGTAGGAATACAGTAAAAGCTAGATTTTATTATTTCAAATGGCTGCAAGAGATTCTTTGGTTAAAGCAATTGGACCAAGGATTAAAGCTTATACCTTGATGAATATCTGAAATGAGAAGGAGAAGACTCTACTTAATATAATACGTTTACCTTGAAGGTCAGACCATGCTATTTGGGTTCTGCAATTCTCAAGCATATTGTAAAGGATGCCAGCACTTCATGAATGCAAAATTCTATGGATTTGACAAGATTCTGAGATATATTTTTCCTCTTCCTGAGCATAAGCACACTCAGTAAAGCTAAAACATTTTACAATATCAAACAAGTGAATCAAAACAACTCAACATTCAGGATTCTTTGAAAGCAATTTACAGCTTTATTGGCGTCTCCCAAAGAATATCAATAGGAATCTAATTTATAACATAATTTCAGATTTATTATCATGTTCTCCTCTTTACTATTTCTTTTTATCTTTCTCATACCCCTACTGCAACTAATATGGTTCTTCTTGCTTTTCTTTTCAGACTCCCCCAAATTTGTTCTTTCTCCATCCTTCCCATGAACTCTGGTCTCCTTCCCTATTCCTTACATGCTCAACTGTGTTTCTCCCTGTCTTGTTGCTCTTCTTCCAAAATACAACCTGGTCAGTTTGTCTCAGAGTTCTTTCTATTCTACAGTGATTTTTAAAAATCCATTATCCTGATCAATATAACAAAAATAACTAAGCAGTAGGGAACAAGGTTGTCAAATAGAGAATTTTTCTTAGAAAAATCAGCCACAATATTTTAAAATACATTATAAATGCCTGTCTCAATTATATTTTATTTTATAGATGTGACTTCAAAATCTATAGGAATGATAAGATTTTGTGTACTTATAAAGACAATCTAATTCTTTATTTTAAGAATATAGTAGATTGCTTATTTATGGTAAGTAAATATAGCTTTGATTTTCATCCCTTTCTTTCTAAGAAGGAATAACTTATTCAATAAATGATTTTTTTTTTTTGCAGTCTAAAGAAGGCGCATTTATTGTCAGAGATTCGAGACATTTAGGATCCTACACAATTTCTGTATTTATAGGAGCTAGAAGGTAAGCACTTGTGATTTTGGTTACTGTAGAAATAATCCCTGGGACAGTCTCCATCACATAGACAATGTTAGTGAGAACTTAGCTTAGGGAAAAGATTGCTGGCCTGGAAGTTAGAAAAACCAACCAGTCCGTAATATATCCTTAGCATGCTCTGGGTGACACTGGATAAGTTTCTTAATCTCTCTTGTCTTCCTTTTCTCAACCATCAAGTAAAGAGGGGGAGATTAGTTGTGGTAGACACTGTTGGGCGCTTTCCTCATATCCCCTGGACTATTCTGGGATTCACCTGCAGAAAGGTCTCCTGCACTTAGAAAGCTTCCTGTGTCTGTCTGCCTGAGGACGTTCTGTGGCTGTGGGAACTTGTGGGCCCACGGCTAAGCTGAAAGTGCCTAAGAGGTAACATCCCAGGAGCAACCCTATGTTAAAGAAAATGGGAGTTGGTGGATAGATATCTCAGCTTCTTTTGCATTTCAGTGGGACAATTGTGAGATGTGTTCCCCAGCCTCTCCTAGGTTCCTGGAAGCGTTGAGCCCCAATTGCCCAAAGTAGCAACCTACTAAGTAATGCACCTGGCATTAGGTTTTCCTCCCTTCCTTGTCTTACATCTCCAATTGCTCACAGTGCGTGTGTTCATTCATTTAACCAATACTTGATATTCAGTATGTACTTAGATGGATTCATTATAAGATCTACTTTTTTGGACAGTAGTCTTGTCACTCAGACAACTTTGGCTGAAGTTATGTTTGAATCTAAGGCCCCAAAAATTTAGCTGAGGAATTTTCTTGGCATGGGGATGCACTTGTTGAATTTATTCAATCCAGTTCTCAGTGTAGTGTTCCTAGGATGAGTTTTAGAACTGGAGTCCTGTTGTTTAATCAGTTGGCTTAGTTCCAAAGTGACCTTTCACTCGTCTAGTAATTCACATTTTCTTGATTGTAGAAGTACGGAGGCTACCATAAAACATTATCAGATAAAAAAGAATGACTCAGGACAGTGGTACGTGGCTGAAAGACACCTCTTTCAATCAATTCCTGAGTTAATCTGGTATCACCAGCACAATGCGGCCGGTAAGTGGGGAACTTCAAGCTGGGTGAGTCAGGGAGCCAAGCCCTTGATGACCAATGCATCTTTAGTATCAGACACTCGACAGGAGCAAATCTCCCTGTAGAAATAGTTTAAGAGCTTGAAATACAGCCTGTCGTTTGAGCAATTCTCTTTCTTATTGATGCTTCTTCATTTTTCTAGTTGGTGGGGGCAAGAGGTAGGTCAATTTCTTATATTTCTGCCAGGTTAGAAACATGATAGCTGATGGAGATGCAAATAGTTGTCAATCATTATGCATTTGTTCTGGAAATTTACATAGGGCTAAATGTAATAAGATTTCAAATACCCTAAATAATGATGCTTTTTTCCCTTTGCCCCCATAAATCTGTTCTTTAGACAATTGCAATAGAAAATTACCCTTATGTCTCTCATTCTCTGTTTTTTCTTGTTTGAAGAATATAAAAAGTCACAGAGAACACAGCCTTTCACAGTTACAATTTAGCCTGACTATACCAGAGGCACAGTTAACCCATCTCCCTACCTATTGTTTGCAATAATTGCTATTTGTGCAAACCTATCATCTGTGAAAAGATATAGGAACCCAGAAAGTTCCACCAGAATTACAATCACATCTCTGGCCTTCAGCCCTTGCTTAACCTGTGCTGAACTACTTTGAGCCCATGGGGAATCTTCTTAGCATTGCAGAATTTAGAATCCACTGTAACTTTTCATATTATTTTGACATCTTGTCATGTATTTCTGTTTTAGATTTCTCTCATGAAAAGTGTTGACAAAAAAATTCCTTTTGGAAAGAGCTCACTTTTCCATTACACTAGTTCTAAGTATCAGGAATATATCAAAGGACATTTTTATCCTCTTGTGGGATGCATTCACGTGGATGTTCCAGGCAGTCACTGGAAGTTTGGTTAAGGAGTGAGGGTAAAATGTCTAGGTGGGGCCATAAAGGTCATAGTTGTAGCTAGAGATAGAATCAAGAGGTCAGTTCTGAATTTTCTCCTTTACATTTTTCTTTCTCCTTTCTCCAAAGAAAAAACTTGAGAAAGAGTGCTTATGGTGATTAGGTTACATGAGGTTATATGAGGGCTTTAACCTCAGCTAGGTCTTAGAGTCACTGGTAGCATCCATTCCTGTTCTCTGTTCAAACTTTTACCATTCTCAAGACTCCTTTACCAGAATTAACCACTGCCCTATTAGCAAATCTCCTGTCTGTCTACATCATTAGGAAAAGTGAAGCCACCAGGCATGAGCAACGTCCGTCTCATCTTCTGTCCCCATGCCCTCTTACCCCTATTCCCTCCAGTAGTAGTGAGGCCATGCCTGTGCTCTTGCTCTTGCCTGCCATCCACTGTTACTTTCTCTTCTGTTTCTCTTATGTTCTTTTGTCTTTCTCCCTTTAGCCCTTAACCCTATAAACATGCTTAAGACTTTCTTATCCTAAAAACAAAAACAACTCTCCCCCCTCTGCCCTAAGTCTTTCTCTGTTTACACATTGCTCTTGTGAGTCACACTTTTGGAAAAATATATCCACATCCTCTGTCTCCACTTCCTCATTTTCCATTTACTTTTTAAACATCTTTCTTCTGCTTTCAGCACTCCATGTTTGACCAGTGGCCCTACATTGACAGTACAGTGATGTTTTCTGGTTTTCCTGTGTGCAGATCCTCTCTGCTGCATTTGGCAGTGTCACTTGTTGCTCCATCAGTGTTTGACATCACCCCCTTTTGGCCTTCTCTAACTCCCAGTAGTTCCTACTGGGTCTTCCCAACGTGCCCTACTTCTACTCTTCCCTTGAATATTGGTTTTCCTCAGGAATCCATCCATGATCACTTCTCTTCTCAACTTAGGCATCTCTCTTTGCATAATCTTCTGTCTTGTAGACAGAGGCACTTGCAATTCCCGTAGGCCCTGAACTTCACTGATGAAGTAGGATGCTTCATGTTATACCATTACTCTCCCTCCAAGTCTCTTTCTGTTGTCTCTTTCAGGTAATACTAGCACTATTCAGCCCATTTGTATGGGTTGGAAGCATATAAATTAAGTAGATGCTTCTTTTTATTTTTTTTGAGACGGAGTCTCACTCTGTAGCCCAGGCTGGAGTGCAGTGGCATGAAATAGATGCTTCTTAATACCTCACTTCTGATTAATTATCAAATGCAATTGATTTCATATTCTAACTTGTGTCCCCTGTAGATCCCTGCCTCTCCCTTCTTCTAGTGCTGCCCTGATCATTGCTCACTAGGACAACTGCAATAGCCTCTTAACTGCTCTCATTGCCACCAGTGTTGATTTCCCCTTAATCCATTCTGCTAGTACCAGAGTGATCTATCAGAAATGTTAATCTGGTGGGGGGCAGTGGCTCATACCTGTTATTCCAGCACTTTGGGAGCCTGAGGTGGGTGGGTCACCTGAGGTCAGAAGTTCAAGACCAGCCTGGCCAACATGGTGAAACCCTGTCTCTACTAAAAATTACAAAATTAGCCACTCATGGTGGCACATGCCTTTAATCCCAGCTATTTGAGAGGCTGAGGCAGCAGAATCGCTTGAACCTGGGAGGCGGAGGTTGTAGTGAGCTGAGATCACACCATTGCACTCCAGCCTGGGCAATAAGAATGAAACTCCGTCTCAAAAAAA